TTTCCGTCGAACGCGTGCGGAGCAAGGGTGCGACGGTGATAACGGATCATTGTGCAGGCAGTTGCACGTCTCGTGGAGTATGTTGCGGTGTTTATTTCCGTGTTTTGCGTCGTGAATTCTTGTTCTCCGTGTCGCGCCTCCGTCTGCTCATTCCCTCCTCCTCCTCCCTCCTTTTCCATATCACGATCAGAATTATCGCGATGTGACAGGCCTCGCACTTGGGCAACACAAGGAGGTGCCGCCAGGGGATAATTAGGACACTTACCGGTTCGTGCCCAGATTGTGGGGATGTCTCCAGCGGTTCGGTTGTTTCACGGATGTAGGCGCGTCTTTTTCAGGGCCGCGTGGTGTTCGCGATGTCGCAACAAACGTTGCTGAGCGCCACAATGGGGAGCGACCACGGGGTGGGACATTTGCCCACTTGCGGTCAGCATTCGGGGATATCTCACGCGAGACGCTGGCTTTTTGAGGTGGGCGTGCTTTTTTTCAGGGCCGCCACGAAGGAAGCGAATACTTGGATCAGTCCCGGCAGTCGCCGCGGTACTGGGGTGACCGTCGGATCGATTATTTCGTTGTCGATTGTTTTTGGCGCGCACCGTTCAAACCTTCAGGTGGCCCAGTGTTGGCAAATTTTGCGCGGTGGTTGCACGACGAAGGAGGGCGCACCATAGAACCCTTCACGACAGCCCATCGTTGTAAAGATGTTCGTGGCGGTTGTAAGACGAGCGCGGGCACGGTGATCGCGCGCATTTGGGTGTTCACATTCGTTATGGCGCTCGCATGTGGTTCGCTAGACGTAAAATTTGTGTAGATCTTGGACGTGACAAATCTGTGATGAGCCTTGGCTAGGTCGTGTGCAGGCCTTCACTGGGTTCTGGGTAGGCCTTGTATCAGCTCTTAAAAGGCCGCCAGGTAAGCCTGAGGCAGGCATTGGATAGGCCGTCGGGCTGACCTTGGACAGGCCTGGGGGTTCGTGGGCAGGCATTGGGCAGGTGACATTGGGTTTGCTCGAGGTGGGCCTTGGACGCTCTGGGTCGTCTAGACCTTGGGTAGGCGTAGAGTGCGTGAGGGGTGTGCCGAAATCGGGCCCATTGAGCCGTCTTGAGAGGTACGTAGCTGTTTCTTATGTCTTGTTTCGCCGATCGGCGCGGGCCCCCGCTCCTCCTCCCCAAAGACCAGATCTTGGCTGCTTAAAGCGGCTGCTTCAACCGGGTGGATTAAGCACTGGGGCCCGCCCCCCCTCCTCCCCCCGGTGGACACACGAGCTGCTGCTGTGCGTGTGTGAGTTTTTTTCTCGAGGCGCCCTTCTGGAAATGAAACAAAGGGTATGTAGGCAGCTGAAGTGGGATCATGCGGAATCCTTTTTCGACCTGCGGCCAGCTGTATGTTTCATGGTTGCACGCCGAGTGGAACACGTCCACCGCGTCGACAACGAACATATTTTTTCGCGTTGCAGGCCGAGTGGAATTCGTACACCGCGCCCGCAAGAGCTCCTCTGCCGCGTGGAATGTGATTCCATTGGTCCGCCAAAAAGGGTGTGGAAAGGAAAGGGATTGAGAGGGTTTGCTGAGAGGAGAATGCAGGATTAAGGTCGACTGGGGTTCATGGCGTGCATCCGTGGGGGCATAGAGGGATGGTACGAGTTGCTGATTGATCATGATTGATAGAAGTCTTTCTGCGCTCCGATGCTGCGAACCCTAGACCGTCGCCGCATCTTGCTAGAACCAAAGCGCGCGCAGCGCGCGCGCGTGGTTCTAGTGTACATGTACGATAACTTTGGATCCTATGGGGGTGCATGCAGGATCCTATAGGGATACACGGGAGATTTCATAGGGGAGTCACGCAGGTCTTAGGTTCATAGGGGATGACCACCCCCCCCTCAGGCAGCGCGCGCTGCTCTGGTTCCGGTTCCGGTTCCGGTTCTGGTTCCAGTTCCGGTTCGGGTTAGGGATCATTCTTCATCCCTGCCCCTCTCCATGCGCCCGGTGCCGGTTCCGGTTCCGGTTCTGGTTCCGGATGACCCCCCCCCCCTCAGGCAGCGCGCGCTGCTCCGGTTCCAGTTCCGGTTCTGGTTCCGGTTCCGGTTCCGGTTAGGGATCAAATCTATCCCCCCCACCTGGGTTCTTATTGTGGCGAAGACATGTCCGTATCCACGGCTTCGCGAACAGCGCCATTGGGCCCCGATCCCGCAGAGGCGGGATTGCGTCCTAGAATCCAAACCGCCAGGGCGTGAATACGGATACGTTCGTCGCTCGTGTGGTGGAGGAGCAGGAGGAGCAGGAGGAGGAGGAGGAGCAGAGGGCGTAAGAGGTAGGCGACGATGAGCTGCGTAAGGCCCACTGTCACCGTTCACAGCGAGTGCGACCCGCTTCGCGGTGAACGCCGATTGCCCAGACGGTAGCCGCTGTCAATTCTGGACCGCGCCCATGCAGTGCTGGACATGGCCTCAGCCAGCAGCGCCGTCGTCGTCCTCCCCAGACCTCCGACGCTGTTGTTTGTTCTCTCAATAGCGTGTCGCTAGAGGGCTCTAGTAGTGGTGTCAAAAATACAACAGAAGTGTCCCACAGGAGCCCCAGACCACCCAGTGCGCAGTAGCGGGTCTGACAGCTGTTCGCCTGAGTTTTCCGTACCATTTTCACCTCAATGCCGGCTACATTGCACACGGCCGTGCTCTCACCATTGTCCCGCTTGTCGGCGTTCCTGGGAATCCCAAGGAATGCTTAGGAATGTGCGTTTCACTAGCCGATCCCCTCCTCCCCGACCCGCATCTTGACCTTTGCTGCTGTCAGGGTGCTTTGCAGGGGGTCATTGCTCACAACGTTGCCCCTCAGAGGGACGAGAGGGAGGGCGGGATGGAGGAGTCAGGATCCATGATGGTGTCTAGGCTCAGGGGACCTCTGACGCGGTCTGTCCCTTTCGGGCTTCCGCATGTCATTGGGGAGCCAGAAGCTCCGACGCAGTCATGTTGTTTCAGAATGTGGATACCCAGGCGAAGTCTGGACCTCGGAGCCCTGTGAGGGCCACTGGAGGGCGAAACTGGCAAGCACATGTTGTCGCCATTCTTTCGCGGCGCGAGCAGGTCGGCTCTCGGGCCACAACTCGGGCCTCAGGCGGCCGCCGGGCAAGATGCCGGCATCCCCAGAGCGCGCTCGGCGAGGCGCCGCTGCTGGAAAGCATGCCGAAGCAATGATCCCTTCCAGGGCGGCACTGAAGTTGGCCAAACGCCTGCAGAGTGCGTGCGACAGGCCGTGTGCAGTTCCGCAAGGCAGGTCGTCGTCGGCATCCGCTCGCCCAGCCGAGTTCGGCGACAGGTGACGTCATAATCCAAACAGAGGAGCAGGAAGGAGGGAGGGAGAGAAGGAGAGTCGAGAGAGGTTACAGGCAAGCAGGCAAGCTAGGTGCGCCCGGGCCAGGTGTGACATCCGACCCCTCCCACACGTTCTTTTCCCTTGCGCCGCCTGGGGTTCCTCAGATGGCATTGATTTTTGAAATGGCCACATTGTGTGATGCACGATCAGAGAGGGGGGCTTCGTACACTGTGGGAGGAGGATGTGGCAGATGATCATGAGGATGAGCAGGAGGATCGGCCAGATCTTGGGACCCGTTTCCCGCGTTCGCATTTGCGAACAGCGTCGGCATAGAGAATTGCTTCCCGGGCGTATGCAGTCAATTGTGCTGGATCAGGTCCGAGTTGGCGTCGAGAGGTGCCCGATGTTCCTGAGGACAGTCCGTGGTTCTTCGTTTGGCGTTCCTTCTGTTCTTGGACGCGGCCGAAGTCCGAGAGTGGCTGCTTGTGGCAACGCGTCAACGGCACGTCGCTCAGAATATCAATCGCCGGGGGGGGCGATGTCCCAGGTCCCCAGGATGCGGTGGATACGCATCTTTCCACGACCTCGGGGTCCCAACACACATCCGTCTCCCAAACAAGGGCAACAGCTGCACAAACATCTGCCATCGAAGGTCCGCGCGGACGTCTTGGATCGGCGCCGGACCATTCAGTGGCGGCGCTGGAGGCGCCGCCAGTTTGTGTGCACGCCTCCTCCTTTTGTCCCCATGCTATCCACCGCCTGCTGGGGCTCTGGGACATCGGTCCCCCAGCGCGGCACCTGGCCAGGCGCCGCGCTGCTCCTGGCTGCCGCAGCGCGCCAGGCCTTGCTCTGCCTCCCTTCCTTCCCAATCCCCGCCTCCGGACTCCCCGTCGTGCCACAGGGCGTCCTTCGCGCCCGTGAGAAGTGTGGGTCTCCCCGCCAACTCTTTCGGCGATGTGTATTCCCTGGCGCTTGCACTGCCGGTGCATGTCCAGGTTCTCGTGCCAATGTTGACGTCTGTCTGCGGAGAACTAAGAACAGCTCACCAGCAGCACTCTGACGCCGGTCGGAGGGAGCTGCGCGAGACGATCGGCACCCACTTCCAGGACAGGAGTTTCTTCGCGGTGCCTGGGGGCGGCCAGGGGGCGGCCTCGGCGGCCCCGTCGGTGGGGTCCACAGCCTTCTCGCATTCGGCGGGAGGGGGGTGGGGGAGCGCCCCTTTCCCAGAAGGAGAGGGAGGAAGGGGGGAGGAGGAGTTGGAGGTGGGGGGGAAGGGGTTGGAGGAGGGCGAGGATGAGGGCGAGGGGGGAGGAGGGAGAGGAGGAGGAAGAGGAGGAGGAAGCTGCGCGAGCCGATCGGCACCCACTTCCAGGACAAGGGCTTCTTCGCCGTGCCTCGGGGGCGGCCAGGTAGCGGCCTCGGCACCCCCGCCGATGGGGGTAGAGGGAGGGCCACACGCTCGCATTCGGCCAGGGGGTGGCCCTCCCCTGCTTCCCAGGAGGAGGGGTAGGAGGAGGGGAGGGGAGGAGGGGGAGAAGGAGGGGGACCTGGAGCGAGAGCGAGAGCGATGAGGATGTGCACGAGAGGGGGGGGGGAGGTCGATAGGGAGGCGAGGGCGGGGCCGCACTGCTCCGGGGCTGTGTTGCCGTGTCCGGCCATCAGAGGTCAGGCCCTCACGCTGCAGCAAACCCCATGTCGCGTGTCTTTGTTTGTGGGCATACGGGCCATCGCGACGTGGGGGCGCCCGAGGAGGAGGCGGCTCGGCCAGAGGAACACACCTACACATCTGGGCGCGCCGAACAAGCAGAGCAGAGGCCGGCGAGAGCGATGGGAGAGACGAGCACGCAGAACTCGACGAGCGAGAGACAGCACACGCGCACCGATAGCACAGGCGAGCTACCGAAGACGACGAAGCCAGAAGCCGGGCCGTCATCGCCAGAGGCCTGCAGGGGACGGGGATCACCCATCGACTCACTACACCCCTTTGGGCCAGTCCAGGCAATGGCGGCCGCCCCTGGCGTTCTGCGTGCTTCTTGGGCCTCCGGAAGGCTCCTCGTCGCCGCGGCTTGATCCGCTTCGGCAAGCGGGCCAGGATTGAGCCCCCGAGAGGTCCAGGGGCAGATTCGGAGCGCATCCCGAGCCCATGTCAGCCCTCCTGAGGGGCAGCGGATTGCTGGATCCTCCTTTCCGCGTTGTCTTCCCTGGAAGGAGCAGTCGTCTCAACTGGCCTTCCTCCGAGAGACGCCGCTCGCCTTCGTGCAGGAGTCCGTGCTGGTGGACCTCAAGCGGCCCGGCAGCTCCGAACGCAGAGGAGCCCTCCCGAGGCCTCCGGGGCCCGCCCGGGGCCCGACGGCGGCGCAGCGCCCGCGTTGCGGACGCATTGTTTTCACATTCGCTTGCGGTCAGGGATGCTCTTGCCCACCACGCGTCTGCGCGGCACGATAGCCACGCCACAGGCCCCAGGCGTCAGCGTCCCAAGCCTTACTTGGTCCCCCGCCCCGCGGAGGGGGGCGACACACCATCCGCTTGCAGGGCACTGAGTGTTGCCGGGGCCGCCGCCGCGACACGCTAAGCAGACGGTCCTGACCGCATGCGTATACTGTACGACTAGAACCACGCGCGCTTCGCGCGCGCTCAGGTTCTGTCGAATTACAGACCCAGGAATCGTTGTGAGAAGAAATTGGGGACGCGAAGTCGAAGCCAATCTGGCGCCAATCTGGCGGCCCCTATCGGGCAAAACTTGGCAATCTGGCGGGGGAGCCAGCGAGGTAACAGACTGGCGAGCAAGTAAAAATCTCCAACCTGGCCACGTCAGAGTGGCCCTGGATCCCAAGGCAATCTGTTAGTCTGGCCTTCGGCTACCCAGGAGAAGGGCGAGACTCCCTCCTTTTCCTCCCTCCTCCCTCCTTCTCCTCCTCCTGCTCCTCCTCCTCCTCCTCCGCCTCCTCCTCCTCCTCCTTCTCCTGCTCCTCCTCTTCCTCCTCCTCCCTCTCCTCCTCCTCCTCCTCCTCCTCCTCCTCCTCCTCCGTAGCCATTTTGGCTCAAGGTCCTAAGTTCCCCAGGGGACCAAGTGGATACCGCTAGTCCGCGGCTGGCAAGACCCTTGCGGTCTGGCAGTGTTTTGCATCGATCCGCGCTCGGGCGGTTGGGTAAACGGAGGCGTTTCCCGTTCCTGGCCGCTCGATCGCACTGCGCCTCTTCCCATGGGCAGCAGCCGCCGCAAGGACAAGAAGGGTCGTCGGCAGGCACAGCGCTCGGATGGCTCCGACAAATCGCTCCCCTCTTCTGCTTCGCCTGCTGCCCGTACTTCTCGTCAGGATCGTCGTGGTGCTCCTCAGTCTCCGCCCAGCTCTGGAGGCACCAGCTCCCGGCGCTCCCGCAGCGCTGGTCGCAGCACGGCTCGTGGAGAGGCGGCTGGCGGACCGATGTCGTTGGAAGATGCCGACATGCTGGACTTGTGCCCGACCTTCCCGAATGACGAGCAGGCGGTGGTCGAGTCGGGCCAAGCCGTTCGCCCTGGCGCCCTTCCTGAACTTGCTGCTGGTCCATGGGCCCCTGGGACGCCTGTTGTTGGTCTCCCCACGCCGCCTCTCGAGCCTGTTGGCAATGCGAGCTGGCCACCTGGCTCTGACCCATGGGCTGCTCATCTTCGCACCGCCGCTGATCGCCATGATGCCACTCCTCCACATGCTCCTGGTGACACCTCGTCTTCTGGAGCGACCCCTGGCAAGGCGGCGACATCGACGACAGATATCCCTGGCATGTCAGACGTCCTCGAGCGATTCAAGTTGGACATTATTGCGGAGATGTCCCGCGCCTCTGCCGAATCCATCGCCAACATGGTCCGCACGGAGCTCCCTCGCACCATCTCGAACGTCGTGCAGCCCCTCGTCGCCCAGCTCGACTCGGCGATGCACGCGAGGTTCAGAGCGCAGGAGATCCGCATGGTCGAGGTCGAAAAGCGAGTTGGTGCTGCCGAGTCAGCCCACGCCTCGCTCGCAGACCGCTTCTCGAGGCTGGAGAAGGAGCTGGACCTCGCCCGCGCCGCCCCTCGTGAACCCATCGTTCGCACGGCAGAGTGGCAGCGGGCCACAGACCCTGGCATCTTCGTCATCACCGCGAAGGAGGAGGTGGGCAAGAATCTGGTCGGTGATGCGCTGGCGGGCTGGATGCAGGCCGCCAACTACGAAGCTGGCAAAGACTTCGCCCTCGAGGGCGACGAGCTCGGCCGCAGGTTCACTCTACGCTTCAAGGGTCTTGCGGTCACGTGTGCTGCGCGTGTTCGTCAAGCACATGTTCTCCTTCGTGATGCCCATGGTGTCTGGCGGCAATTCTCGGCCCCGATGCCAGGCGGGCGCCGCATCCCGATCTATGTCAGTGTCGATCGCAACAGGTTCGAGATCGCAAGGGAGCGCAACACTGGGAGGCTGCGCGACAAGCTCCAGGACTTCATCGGGCAGAGGGTCTTCATGAACAAAGAGGCGGGCACGCTATCGGTCGACTGGGAGGTCATCGCTCGTGCCATCGTTGACCCGTCTGACCCGCCTAAGGTGCAGTGGAATATGGGCGCTCTATCTGATCTCCGCCTGGTTCGTGCCGACCTGGACAGGCTCGCTAACGAGCTCTTCCTGCCCAAGCGTATCGAGTGGAGTGGGTAACACGTTCTGCAACACTGACCAGCTGATCTTCAACAGCTGGAACTGTCGGGCTCTCCTCCATCACCAATCCTCCATCTTGGCCCGCAAGGCCGACGCCCTGCACTCCCTCCTCTCTCCATCTTCTATCACGGCTCTTCAAGAAGTTCATGGTCCACCTGCTGCGGTCGAGGAGCTTCTTTCGCGTCTTCGAGGAGAAGTCGCGGTCTTTGGCTCTGCGGGCTGCGGCGGCGTCTGCACGCTTATCCCTGCCCCCCTCTTATCGGACGTCCAAGTCACGCCGCTGGAGATCGTTCCTGGGAGGGTGCTGTGCCTCGAGCTCATCCACAGGCGATCGGGTTTTTGCTGGCTCCACTGGAATGTTCACAATCATGATCTCGATGCGAAGGACTTCGATGCCATCCGGCAGGTATTCTCGCCCCAGCTTGAGCAGGTCCGACTCGACCCCTTAAAGTTCAGTATTCTCATGATCGGCGACTTCAATCTCGCGGACGAGGAGGTCGACTACTCCACAGCCGAGCTGATCTACGTCCGCGGCCGCCCTCGACGCCCTCACTATGGCCAAGCAGGCTCTGCTGCGGCGCGCGCCTCTGCAGGTCGCCAGTCCCATGCTGGGCGTTCGAGATGGAGGAGGATCTTTCGGCAGCTTACGGAGCTCGCGGCGCCTGGCCTCAGCCATTTTCATGTTGGCACGCGCACGGGCTCCCGCATCGACAGGTGCTTCACGGCATCGCCACCTTGGCTTCTCTGCCAACTTTGGCAATGTGCTCGGCATCGCGGCGAACCGCAAGAGTTCCATGACGCGCGCCTGTCCGACCACGTCCCGCTTGAGGTCTCATGGCAATCGCGGCGCTGGGAGTCCGAGGGCGAGCCGCGCTCTCGGAAGATACCTCGGATCATCTTCTGTGATCCTATCTACGCGCCGACCCTCGAAGAGTACGAGAAGATCGCTGGCATCGGTGTGTTCGACAAGTTTGCCTGCTCGTCCGCGAAGGACCTTCACTTCTCGGCGCCGGCGGAGCTGGAGATGGCGACCCGCTGCAGACAGGCGGCTGCGCGTGCTGTTCGCGACCTGCAGCTGCGTGACCGCCTTAGGATGCGCGAGAGCCGTTCGATGCTCCTGCGCTCTCTTGCTCGGGCTGTCTGGCGTCAGGACTCTCGCCTGGGAAACATTATCTGGCAAAGGCGTCCATGGCTTCGCTCCTTCTTTTCGGTGGGCTCGTCGTCCTCGTCTGTCGCCCTCTCCTCTCCTGATGCCTTTGCCCGTGCGCATTCCGATTTGCAGCTCCAGGAGGCCCAGGCCGAAGCCGAGAGGCTCCAACGGGCCGAAGGGGCCTCCAGAGCGCACGGGCGCTGTGCTCGTCTCAGATCCCAAGCGAGAGCCCTTAGACGTCGTGCCCAGATTTGGTCCCCATTTAATCGAAGGCGGTACCTGGCGGGAGTGGTGGAGGGGGGTCTCGACGGAACTGCGCCGACCGTTCACGCCTCAGCCGAGGGCCAGACAGCTGCCCTCAGGGCCTACTGGAGCCCTAGATTTGAAAAGCAGCAAGAAGTTCCGCGATGGGGCCAGCGCTATCTCTCTAAGTTCGCTTCCGAGCAGGATTTTTCCCTGCTTCCTCCTCCCTCTCTCTCCGCGATTAGAAGGTTCATTCGACGTGTTTCGCACGCGGGGCCTGGTCCTGATGGGCTAGCGTACTCCGCTTGGAGCTTTGGCCAGGGACCTCAGGTCCTTTTAAACGTCTTCCACTGGTTGGCGAGCGGCCAACGGACGCATCTCGACTTTTATGCAGGCCTGCAGGTTTTCATTCCGAAGGGCGTTCTCGATGGCGACGACGAGCGCTCTGGAGGGGTAGTCCGCCACGGGAAGGACACCCGCCCCATCGGTCTGAAAAACACATCCAACAGGATCGTTGCTGGGGTCGCCAATTCGGGTCTGTCTGAGGTGGTGAAGAAGATTGGCGCCCCCGTGCAACGAGGCTTCATTCGAGGCCGTAACTTTTTGTCGAATGTATACGAGCTCGACGCGCATGCGAGACTCACTAGTGCACGTGATCTTCCAGAGGGTGCCATTTTGGCCTTCGGCTTTGCCCAAGCTTTCCCTTCGGTCAGCCAGTCCTGGCTGATGTTTGCGCTGCGACAGATTAAGCTTCCTCGCGGATGCTCGCTCGCAACTCAGGGCTTCTACCACCTCAATCCCTGTCTCTTCTCTGTCCGAGGCCTCCTTCTCCCTCTCTTCTTCATGATCTCAGGTGCGCTGCAAGGTTGTCCTCTCAGTGGCAGCCTCTTTGTCATTGCGATTGGTAGCTTCTTGTGGGATATGTTTCGCAGTGCGCAGAGGCCTGGCCACGGTCAGATACGAGCGCGCGCCGACGACATCGGCACTGCGCTCTCCTCTCGGAAAGGCTATCGCGAGAT